TATTCAATTACGTAAAAATAGACATTTAAGTAAAACTAAACTAAGGTGTCACGTAATTTAGGGCATGGTCTCTTTTACGAACCTGCATAAAAAGGAACTTATAAGCATTCGTCGCGACGTTGCCGTTATTGTACTGTTGTAAATTATCAGTGTTATTAATAATGACAGATGTCAGTGGTGGGACAGAAAAATCTTTTTATACATTCTGCTATATTACATCTTCATTGATGTCAGATAATTTACGTAAAAGTGATTAGACTATTGCAATACTATCCATTGTTTTGTTCCGCATAAATTTAGTGATAAATAACAATATACCGTCGTCATGGAAACGAAATTCCGATTCGCAATTCATTCCACTTATTTCATTTTATATATTTTATTTTTAACCAAATATTAAAATAAATAAGGGATTTTTTTAATTCTTAGCATATATTGTATACAATCTTTTTAGAGAATTTTTTTAGCAGAAAATAGGAAAGATTTATCTTAACATGAAAAATAAAGTTTTTTGCAAAACTGCCCGAATATGATCTTTTAAGCGTCCTTGCGACGTTGCCGCTTTTACTAACTACCAGGTTCTTATTTATCGGTATCTTGAATTGTGAAACAAAAAAATCCTATATTTCCGTCACGTATTTTATCTGTTTGATTATTATCAGGCAATTTACGAGAATTTGGTAGTACTGCCCCTTAGAAAAGTAAATTATCTGTGAGTAACATAGCCGCATTTTTTTTATTATTTTTTTTTTAATTTTACGCGAAAAAATCGCAAACAACAGCTAGTTTTTTATAAGAAGCCCTAAACGTACGATACGATATTGGCTATAAATTTTTACGCTAATCAATTTAGGAAGTAAAAAAAGAAACAAACACCACAATCTATAAAAAAAAATATATTAGCAAATAGTAAAAACTTTAGTTGCCTTTAAATAAATTTTGGCCTTAAATTTTGAATTAAGTAAAAAAGAATTTGCGATATATATAAAATTTTTGGAAAATAAAGAATCACAATTATTTTTTGAAAAGGACAATATTCTTTTAATCTATTTTTTATGTCTTACCTTTAACAGGAGAACCGAAAGCCTCTGCCCTTTTCTCTCTGATAGAATTAATAATGTAGACGAAAAAGAAAATGCCAAGGAAAATAAGGTTGGTCCACCAGACCACAGGGTTGCCTAACAAATATATTCTATGACCACTGCCAGAGAAAAATTGACCCTGTGAAGGAAAAAAAAAATTCTACTAAACAAAACAATAAATTAATATATCAGAAAATAATATTAGTTAAAAATCGTTTATTACATTTTACATTTGAGAGCTATAATAATATTAATAATATTGTTTTTTTAAAAAGCATTTTATTTTTTTTATATAAAAAATCATGTAAAATATATTATATATAAAAATAAGAAATTAAAGATATATATGAGAATAATAATATAATGCTGGTTTACGGAACCTCTATCATCATTAAGAAACTAATAAAACATCTTACCCTGTAATTAATAGGCCATTGCCAGGGCTGAGATGTCACCTCCCCTTCCTTAGGCTTGAGACCTGAATTCCCTTGGAACATGACAGCGTGCGACTCTATGAACCGCTCCAGGAATCCAGACGCGTATGCTTCAAAACTAACCTTGGGTACTGAAGTATTAAAAATCTTATATTCTCCTAAACTGTATTCTAATATAAGTTGACCCTTGATTTGTTAACTGAACAATATCAACGAGGGATCAGCTTAGACTGGACAATGTAAAGCATATTTTTAATTTCGTAAAATCTAACTTTCAATCATTCGAAATGAACTGTTCTTGGTTATATACCACAAAGTTTATTGTTATACCTATACTGTTAAACCGTACTCACAGTCATCAAACAAGTTGTCCTCAACATTCCATAGCGCGTGTTTGTCCCTTAGGTTGGGGTTACACGCCACCTCTTGTTGTTCATATCCCCACTTCGGTAATTGTTTGCCCGTTGTTGTCAACACACATGTCTGTAAATCATCTTAATTCTTACTCATTTAAAATCGTAGTTACATCATAAATGCGAAAGTTTGTAGGTAAACAGCTGACTGGTTATTTAAAATATGGAATAGGTGTAGTTAGTCTGGAAGAACACATAGGCTATTGTTTTATTTTCCACGCGGACGAATTCGTCAGACGAAAGCCAGTGTAAATGTAACAATGGGTTCTATCAACGAGATAAGTGAAAACACTACCAAAAATACTCTTAGATAAGATATAATATATTATAGTGTATAATAATGATTTGTTACTAACTCACTTGTAAATAATGTACGAACATCAACTTGCTTCTCACAGTTTGTATCTCTTCACCATCCTTCCCTCCGGAGATCAAAATCTTCCAAACGTCATTTGCATCTCCAATACCATCCTATATGCAAATAAAAAAGTAATTTCAAAAACTTAACTTAGTGCACTCATTCATATTTACTTATGGAATTAATGTCATATCATAAAAATCTTTTAAAACCCAAATAAATGTCATAAACCATATTTATGTATACAATGAAAATATACTGACATCTCTTTCTCATACATGTGATTGTTGTGTGACAGAGATAACGCTCTACACAGGCAAAATAATTGTATTGTAGATGTTTTGTTTTGTTGGCAATCCTATAAATAAATCTTATCTTACTTCTTACTAATGTTATAAATGCGAAATTTTTGATGTCAGAGTTTGTTGCCTAAACAGCCCAATGGTTTTTAATGAAATTTGGGACATATGTAGAACATAGCCTGGAAGAACACATAGACTATTCACTTTTGTTTTTATTTAATTCCACACGGACAGAGTGGCGGATGAAATCTAGGAAATAAACAAACAAGTTACCTCTCCGTAGCCTGTGACCTGCAGGTACTTGTGAGAGAGCGGCGCTCGTTCCCTGTGCGAGTGCAGGTTGCGGCCCGTGGCGGCGTGCGTCAGGCGCACGAGGTCGCCGCTGCGTACAACCACCGCACCCC